CATTGGCCACAGTTCACCTCGGGGCAGTAGATGCGATTGGAACTAGTGTACTCGATGTACTTCTTGTTCCACAACTTCTTTGTCTGGTAGCTGAGAAGTTTGTCGACATGGTTCAGAGGAACATGGTCGTCGCTACAGCATTTTGGCGGCATATGAGCTGGGTCGGTCAAGGAGAGTGTAAATATTCGTTTGAGGCACTCATGACACCACGAATGATCGCATGCGAGATGCGCTGCTTCCTTGTGTGGGATGTCGTCGGCCAGACAGGTAATACATTGAGCACTAGGCGACTTAGCTGGTATCAACATCGCCAGCAAGGAGATACCTACAGTTTTTCCGGCTTCTTCCCAGCAGCCGGCCCCAGCACTTGCTTTGACCTCTTCAAAGTTGGTTTGACCGGCTCGCTGACCTTAGCTTTGGCCTTATCCTCGCGTTTTCTGTCCGCCTTTGGCTCGTGAATCTTCACTTCCACCTTCTTTGGTGCGGTAACCGGGACTACCACTGGCTCGGGCGCGATCTCGATATTCAGTTCAGCCTGCTTCTTCTCCTTCTTCTCCCTCTTCTGGATACATCGTTGACAAAGAGCTCTAAGTTCTGGGGTTGAATGGTCATCGTGATGTTTGCGATGTCGCTGGCGAGATGGTGGCCGCTGGCCCGTGCTCACTACAGTGGCAAGCTTTGACGACTCCTTAGCCCGTTTAGTACTATTTCCACGGGCTCCATCAGGAGCGACCTTCAATCGCGAATCTGGTCGTAGCCGTGCGTCCGACCTAGCTGTTCGCAGAGAATGATTCGACCGAACCCTTACCGGTCGCCTCACACTAATGGATCGTGATCGTGAACTAAAAAAAAAAAATATTAGCAAGGATGAAACCTCGTATAAGCACGCTAGAACAAACCTAGATAGACCCAGGACATCCTCAACAGAATAACGGTTCTTTTTGTTATCCTTCCGAGCACCCTCAACTGCCTTTCTCAGTATCGGTTGTTGTAGCGGTGGTGGTGGTGGTGGCGATAGTTCTTTCTTTTGTCGATGCCTCCCCTTTTTCTCACCTCCCCCCCGTCGTCCCACCTCATCCGCAGAGTCTCTCGGATCCCGAGCTCTTTTACCCTCCCTTTCCGCCCTTCGCTTCCTTCGCTCCTGTCGCCTCCGCTCTCTCTCAATCGGATCCTCCTCCTCGTGCGACGACGATCTCCTCCTCGAAGATTTCGACTTCTTTCCCTCCTTAGCGACCGGCGATGGAGATGGGGCGCGGAAAATGGGGCCAGCCATTCTCTCTAGCGACCTTCCTGGGACCTCGCAGTTCTCAAAGTATTCCTCACGGTGGTTTTCGTATAAACGTTCGTCCCCTTCGCCCTTGTTATATTCGCCCTCGGTGAAATACGCAACCACGTCAATCTCAGGTGATGGATTGTCAATGGCTGGCAAGCGTTTTCGCGGATATAATTCGTCGGGGCAAGATCGATGTGTGTTTTCTACTCGTCGATGAGTATAAGCGTAGTTATGTTCTAAGCCGGTGGAGAAAGAAACGTCTGAGAGATAACCCCCGCTGTCGCTGTCACCCACACCACCTTCCTGAAAATCTTGTTCTTCCCCTCGACCAACACCACCAAGAAGAGCAAGGTCGCACGGGGGTAAATGAAGCTGAGTGGAAGACACAGCAGAGAGAGGACGAAAATACACCTTATCCTCTTCCTCCTCCTCTTCCTCCAATTGTAATTTACTTCCAATCTTGCGAATCACGCTTTTCGCAGAGTCACAAAAGGCATCAAGTTCGGTGCTCCACTTTGGCCATGGCCACCGAGTGCTTTCCACGTCGCTAAACTTGGTGGCGGACGAGTGGGAAGTGTTCATCATAATCGAGCGATGGGATCCTTGTCACTTACCCGCCAGGGGTGGGCGTCGAAAGAAAAGAAAAAAAAAGAATTTTGATCGAATTAACGCGATGTGGAATGTCTAAGACGCGAAAATATGACTGGTCCTTATTTGTATCACAGCTACCCACCGAGGTCAGTCTGAACCCGAATGGGAGAAAGGAAAATCGGGACTTTAAAGAGGGGAAAATTAAAAAAAAAAATTGGAATAAAAGGAACTGACTGACCTTGGACAAATTCACCCGGGATCAGGCAGAATAGGAAAAAATGGAGAATATAAACCCAGACCTGCAGACAACGCCAAGCTGAAGGGAAAAAATGAAACCACTTTGCCCACCGTAAGTCCGTCCGTACAGATACAGATAAGTAGTCTAGTACTCGTAGCCTCAAATCCGTAGAGAAAGGGAAGAAGAGGGCTCACGGACACATCGTGATTCTTATCATTATCACCAGGAGCAGCACTTGCTAGGAGTGGAGGGAAAAAGGAAAAAAATTAGCCCAGTAGTAGTTAGAACAACAGTTTGTGTGAGTTGGCACACACACGTGCATGGGCGAACCAGTTATCGCTGTGACGCCGTGAGCAAGAAGAGCTCGCAAGAAGCGGAGGTTTACCAAAGTCCTCGTGAATCCATCACCAGCCAACAGTTTCCTGATCACGCGAGAGAATCAACAAGGAACCATTCGAGTTACGAGCAACAGGCCAAAACCACCGTGTTTCACTGGGAAAGGAAACCCCTCAGTCCTACCGTACAGTACCCATCCATCCCTTTTGCTAATGGTACAGTTACAATATCCGTACGTGGGTGGGATACCGGTAGAGTTTCCTGAGGGGGCCCCCCACGGGGCGGAAGATCTACACGGTTGGAAAAAGTCATAGGTATGATACCGGTAAGGTAAGGAAGTTCCCAGCACGGCCAACGACTGGAGCCACGGGGGCTACGGATAAACTACTCGAGTGGTACTCGAGTACCGTAAATGGATTCCGCAGTCAAGATAATTTCTCACCTCATCTTGGTATCATACTTTAGCGACACGAGCAAATGCGGGGCAAGGCTACGATACTCCAGCAGGCTGGACTTGTGCCTTTAGAAAAAAACGGCAGACTACGGGAGTGGGGAAAGCGGCGGGGAAGGAAGGGACAGACAGACAAGTGCCGGCAGGGCAGGGCTTCCTCACGAGAAGAGAGAGGGAGAGAGAAGGCATCCCGTGTGATGAGAATCCCGATTCTCGATTAGCGTCTTCTTCTGCCATCTCCGCCATCTCTGCCATTGAATGGCGAGAATAGAGCTCGAGTCGCAAAACGTGTTCATATCACACGCCAGCGGAGATGGCCCACAAAGTGGCACGCGGTGCTCATCGTTTTAACTGTGGTTATATCAGCACCAATACTAAACTATTTTGCACGATGGACCGGATTGCCGATTATCGGTGACGAATGAAGCCTTGGGTCAAAAGTCCACCGTTCCCCCTTTGTGAGCGTAACTTAGCGAGGTTCAGTGAGTGCCGGTATGATACCGCATTAACTGACTGACGAGATCCGCCCGCCGCTTGCCCTCGAAAAGCAAAGTAAGAGCTGAAGTGTGATACCGGTACCGGTGAGCATAGCATCCAATGCAGTCCAGAACAGGCCCAGTGGTACTCGTACGAGTACTTTGTTGCGGATTTGAGACAGAACTACCCGAGTATCATACAAAGAAAAACTCCTACTGGTACTGTACTCGTACATAGACTACATATTTCAACGGACAAGTGGGGGACGAATTTTGACAGTTGAACACCGTCCGCCAACGGCCGACCAGTTGACCGAACTGCAGTAGCAGCCACAACGCCCCACCCTGCAAGCCACGAGTTCAACGATGATCCGCACCAGGTTAGTTTCCAGTTCAAACTGTCCGAGTACGACGGGGTAGGTTAAGCTTAACAAATTAATGGTTGTCCATCGAGACAGTGGCAGCACATGGACAGATCATGGTAGCTTATATACTTCCCATCAAATTGAGAACCGCCATTTCTAAATGATCGAATCCGTCGTCCGGGTCCGGTCCGATTTGGCGCTTCCACTGCGCTGTTCGTATCGCATCAAATGACCTAGGCTTGTGCAAGCAAGAAATACACCCAGGTTTGACGACAACACTGTAGCTTAGACCTGCATACAGTACTCGAGATTAGAAATAAAAGCTCCTTGGTCTCGAATTCCGTGTTCATTCAGTTAGTCCAACCACCGTCCAGGTTCAGGCTTTTGTTCAGCTTCACAGATACCCCACGCCCGTTACCCAGCCAGATATTTAATTAGCCTACCAGTCTCTGTAGTGGGGAGAAGTATGAATAGCAAGCGGAGAAACTCACCCCCTATCGTAGCAGAAAATTCCAGGACCACAGATGTCTCTCCAATCCTTCCACGGGTCGGAGCATCCACGAACCTCTAAACCCATTCCGACATTCAAGTAGCCGCGTCACAAAGAGTGTGCCCCACTCGATTCCCCTACTCGGTCATATCGTGACGGCCACAGCGCAGTACAGTACGATACCATGTCAAACCAGCTCGAGGAGGGCCCTTTTGGTCAGGGTATTATTATTTTAGTCAGCAATGGTTACCTACGCAAGCCCTGTATCATAGACGATGTGTTGAGTGCACAGATGCCATAATTGAATGACCTTGTCAAAACAAAACCATCACCACCACCTCATTACAGTATACTACACTACAGTACCGCAAGAAACCCATCTCGTCCGCTCGGTTACGGGTATGTATCGATGCCATCGCTTCTACCGTCCTGTCCTGTACAGTACAGTACTATAATATATACAGCACTAGTACAGTACGAGTACTCGCACGGTTACAGTACACCACGTGAGGAACCGTCAAGAAATCGTGCCTTGCGAGAGCGTCAAAGAGCATCGTCACCCAATAATCCCCTCCCTCTCTCGCTCGTTACATATATAACCTACACGGGAGGAGAATTGAAAGCGGTGGGTTGTGTGATATGGTAGCCTAAGGCTACTACTATGATAGTGTAGACCGGGCTAGACAACTGCTAATGGGGTAAAAAGCGAAGCCTTCCCCAACCTTATTCTACCGGCACTCTCTCCGCTCATATTCTCCGGATTGACATCACGTTTTCTTTTTTTTTTGCCGGTGCGTTAACTTACCACTTCAACCCGGCGGCATGAGTAGGCTACGGTATTGCACTTCCTATGCCATAGTTTACCGCTCCGGACGAAACCCCCACCACCCCCCATCCGACAAACAAAAGGAAACCAATTTCGAGTGATACCCCGTGACCCGCATCCAACGTCGACACTAGACGAACACTGCCCCATTAGGTGTCATATCAGGTCCCGTTCATCACAATCACAATCGCGATGTATATATAAATATATAAACACCAAGAAATGCATCATATAAGCTAAGATAACCCCCCCCCCAAACGACCAACCAGACCTAAAACTAAACCACACACATACACGCACACAAAAAAGGAAAAAAAAAAGAAAAGAAAAGAAAAGGAGACTCAGGTCTGTTCTATAACGAGTATACCATGGTAACTAACTACTGGTAAGTAAGTTACGCGTGCGGGAGCGAAGGGCTATGAAAAAGGCGAGAGAAGGTAGGAGAGAGAGAGAGAGGAAAAGAGGGTTGTAGAACACCGCCGAAGGGAAACTGAAAGGGAGGAAAAAGGTTCTGTGGGTGTGATGGATGGAAAATGTGTGGGTAATTTTCTGGGGGGGGGATTTGCACACTGGGGCTGAGGGGAAAAAGGAAAGAAAGAAAGAAGGGAATTCATAATAGCTGGGTAGGAAAGTATCATAGGAGGAAAAAGAGGGGGAAGAGGAAGAAAAAAAGGAAGCTCAGGTTTTGGTTAAAGAAGAAGAGAATTACTGTACACTACCACTGCAAAGAATCCCCCCACTTGCCCGCCGACCAGCAAAACGAAGGAAGCAGGAAAAATAATAATAATAGTGGAAAGAAAGAGACCACCAAACAACCCCCCACCTAATTGATACTCTCTCTAAAAGCGCTCCTCCTCTCAGATTCCACGCTGGCCCGGCCACCTTTAACCCCGACCCCACCGAACCCCTCATCCCGATCTCTAACCCCCTGCAGCCTAACATCCACCGCAAAAGGATTCAAGTCCTCCGGATACGGGGCAGCCCTAGTCCCCAAATCTCTGGGTGGCTCCCGGCTCCTACTTCTCCCCCTCTCCTCAAACCCGTTCCCCCCTGCGCCTCCTCCCGGCCCAAGTCCGACGTCCCTTCCCCTCTGATTCCCATACCCAGCGCCGTACCCGCCCTCGTCCTCCTCCTCGATCCTGTCATCCCATTCCCCGTCCATCTCGCGGGTACGCTGGGATCGCACGTTGGAGCCCGAGTAACCAGTGTTGTTGCTGCCAAAGACACCGGTAATTTTCCCGACGAAGCCACTGCGCGAGGGCTCATATGAGGCCGGAGCGGGCGCGGTGCGGGAGTTGTTTGGCAGGAAGGGGATGTATGTGCGCCAGCTTGGTGCTGGAAGGCCGAGGCGGCGGGCGCGGAGTTGGGTGAAGATCTATCCTTCAAGTTAGTGCTGGGGAGGGAGGGTAAGGGGGGGTTAGGGGGGGGGACGTACTATCCAGCCGGCACCGGCGAAGAGTAAGAATAGGAAGATTACTAGTACAGCGACTCCTCCCCCCGACATTCCACCCGAATCGTCGGATGGGGAGTTTGTAGCTGAGGGGGTAGGTGTTGGATCAGCAGGCGTTGGTGCCATTGCTTTTGTATTTTTCTCGCTTTTGTCTTATCTTATCTTATTTTGGGTTTTGCTTGTGCTCCGCCAAGGTAATGGAGGGGGTGGTGGTGGTAGTGGTTAACGGAAGGTGCTTGTGTCGACGATGAAGGGTGGATGCGTGAATGAGAGTGGTGAAGTTCGATGGTGGTGGATAGACAGGGGAGATCAATGGGGGTCCAAAAGAGGGCAGGCCCAGCGCCAGGTTTGGCTGATGTCGCCTTAGCGCATGGAAGGATTAGTCAGCTTACCCCGGAACATGTGTTTGTCCCTTTCTTCCAATTTGCTTTAGACAGAGCTTTGTTCTGTTCGCTCGCGGTGCTTCGGGATTGTGGAAGAATGAATTGTTTCTTCTATGTGTGCGTTGTGCTTTCTATTTTACTTACTAAAATCAAAAGTCTGGTATGATACTTTATTTGCTTTTTCAGCTGAATGCGTAAAGGCTTGTGAGGGAAGTTCTAAGACTTGCACCAAGTTATTTTTGCAACGTTTTACTGCGTTGTCTGAACTACCGTAACATGTGTGATGCAATCCCCGGCCATTCGAGGCATTATTTCTTGCGCGTACTATTTTAACTTCTGGCTGGGTTACTGGTAAATACAAGCTATTGGATTACATGGATTCTCAAACCCCCGAATATGCGGTGGAAGACGCTGTAGAGCTTTAAAGAATTCCGAACTGTGCTACTGTAGGACCGCGCTCTTTGCCGTGATTCTTGTTCCCCCCAACCACGAGCCTCACCCATCTGCTGACGGTGGAAGTGCTCTGATCGAACATTTGTGTCGTGGTATTTCCTATTCTCATCCTCACGATCAGAGCATCGTCCTCGGTCCACGGATCGGTAATATCCACTCTATCGCTGTGGTATACGCGGCGCCATGTTTCGGGCGCAGTTCCGTTACCACCGACAAGGAGAGTCCAGAATTCCGGCGGCTGCGATGCCCAGTTGAAGCTTACACCGTTGATTACCGTGGGATTTTCCAAATCCACAGTTAGGGCAGAGGGCTCAGAAGTCGCTGGTTGCCAGACTGTTTGGTTGCTTCCATCCACGGCCGCAAGAGGGAATTGGCCTGGGTACCAGGGGGTGTTTGCCTCCGCGCGCTTACATTGTGCCTTATTCCCGGGAAGGTCTGCACCGTTCAAATCGGGCCGGCGGGTAGGGATGACGAGAGATTGGCCGACAGATAATTTCCAGTCTCCGGCCATTTCATTCCGGGAACCGATCCTGATAGTGACAAGTCCTGGGTTATTGTTTGAACGTCTATGTGCTTTTGGATGGAGTCTAGTGATTGTAGTATTGGTGGAATTGACAAAAACATTAAAGACGGAACCTTGGTGTTTCATCCCCTTTACCTCTATTCCTTCGAGTTGAGGAGGTAGAGAAGGATCGAGGTAGAATGCGTCGAGGCGTGGGCGGTACCCAGTGAACCCGTGTATGGGAACTTGAAGGAACCCTCCGTGTCCGGTCAAAAATGTGAATGCGGGATTGGTGTTGCCATTCTCGTAGATATTGTCGTTAATTTGCTCACTGAACTGGTAGTATGGTTCACGGAGGTAAGGCTGGGAGGCGTAGAGTAAGTATGTATAACTCGCGCAGCCAACAGGCGAAAGATCCGCTGCGTTGATAGCGAACATTGCCCATGTCATGGCAGGACCGTCCGGTGACTGAGCTCTAGCATACTAGGGAAAATGTTAGCACGAGAAAGAGGAACGGAAGCAGTTAAGGAGCTTACGAAATCTAAGTCATTCAGGGCTTGGCTTTCGTTAAGACGAAATTCGAGTGGGTAATTGATCAACAACACATCTGCTTGCTTGATTTCAACACTCCCGTTCATGGTTCCATATTCCGGGATGATGCTCGCATTGGTATTGAAGGGTATAAAGATCTTCTCTTCAATAGCTTTCCACTTGCTAGGCGCTGTTTCACCAACAAGGTTTGCCGCTGCTTGGGCAATACCCATAATGACCTTGATACCGGCATTTGTAAATGCACCGTTATCGACGTGATTTGCATATTCATCCTGCCTTGCAAATCAGTAATCGATACCTCAAAGCCGAGTTATCTGGAAACGCAGACCGGATCCGTCATGTTTCTAACAACATACATGCCTGGGCGAAGCCCGTCGTCTCCAGTCTCATTGGCGGTTTGCACTTTGCTAGCCCACATGTCGGCAACCCCCTTGATAATCGGCCAAGCTTGTCGCTTGAGCCAATCCTCATCGCCAGTTGTCAGAAACTGATGCCAATTCACAAGTGCAATATCCGTATTTAGGTGGTATTGGTAATCGACACATGGACCGGTTGCCGTGCAGTTTCCAAACCTCGCAGAAGTCCACGGATATAGCACACCGTCAGACTTATACTGCTTGGCATTTTCTCGTGCCTGAGGAAGCATTCGAGAACGGTAGTTATTGATTGCAGATGCGTGATCGGGGTGGAGGACGAGTAAGCCGGGAAGCATCCACACTTATAGTCTTTTGTTAGTACGAACCGCTAAGCGAAACTGGAAGGTAAACATACAATCAGCATCCCAGAAGACAAAACCTGCGTAAGAATCACTGGCTAAGCCACCCACAGAGATGCTATTGTCTCCAAGCCCCCTTCCTTCAGAACCGCCGCGAACATTGGCCAGTAAATGGAACAAACTAGCTCTAACTGCGATCTGCATCTGTTCGTCTCCATGAACGATAATATCGCCGTCATCCCATAATTCATCCCAAGCTTGATTATGCTCTTTCACTAATGCGTCCCATCCACAGGCCCTGGCGTCTAGGGCTGCTTGTCGAGCTGCATGTTTAGTGTGCGGGAACGCATCAGTGCTAGCAATGCCGACATATTTGACAATTGTAACAGTCTGTTGCTTAGATGTCTCCACTTCCCATTCCTGGGAGATGGTGGACCGATTGATTGAAACGTAAGGTCTATAATTCGCGTTCTTTCTAGATCCTTCTATCACGAACCCCTGCTGGGATCCAAAAGGGAAATCTACAGTTGAAAATTCATAGGCAGTAACGTTCGGGACACCAATTGGGTTGACAGCCGTCCAAATCACGTTGTCTTTATTCTCAAAGGCCTTCTCAGAAAAATCTGTCCTTTGGGCACCAGCACCATCCAATATGTCTGTCACAACCACATTCCCGTCCCCGGAAGGGGTAATCTCGAGCTTTAGCATCCCAAGGTTGATTCGAGATCGATGAGCCAAGATTGTGAACTTGAGGTCGTAAGAAATACCGGCTTTGGCAGGGGTCCATTTTACTCTCGTGGTTAGGATCCCGTTTCGGATGCTTAGCGATTGGTGGAAACTCTGAATCTGCTTGTGGGGAACACCGGGCGCATAGGTGTACTTCCCATCGGGTGTCGTGACGAATAGTGTGCTCCAGGTTGGGATACCAGAGATGACGCTCTCTCCGCCGTTCTTGAGTAATTCCGGGAAATTCGTTCGAGTGGTGTTTCGTTGGGAATCCCAAAATCCGGAGATTGTAGCAACAGTCTGTCGGGGGTTGTCCAATGGCCAGCCGTTGATGGGCCAGACGCTGTTGGGATTCGAGTCATTTTTCAAGACCTGTACTGCGTTAACTGCGCAGCCCCTAGAACTCGGTTGCTTGAGAGCTTTACCCAATATCCGATTCCTTCAGCGGGGATTCGACTTCCGTGGTAGCCATTCGCAACGTATGGTTGGGACTGATAGCGATTCGTGATCAATGCCTTAGTGCTCAAAGTCCAAGACTCAGGATCATAATCCGCGATGCTATGCGCTTGCTCGTTATTCTCAAAATCGGGAGGCGGAGGAGAAGTGAGCTGTCGTGCAACCAAGGGCCCCGTAAGCCTGTCTCCAATTCGCGGGAGCGCATAAGAGAGGATTAGGAAGGTTAAAGCAAACAGTAAGACAGCCATTGCTCCTCGACCCGCAGTATGCGCAATCAACGAAGATAACGGTGCTGAAAGAGGAGGTCCCGGGAAGGTACTGTAATTATATACTTTCTCGGGGTCACCCCCGAAATTCATATCCTCGCTTTTAATTTCGTAACCATGTCGCCGAACGGCCTCCAACAATAACGGCCGCTGTTCCCCATTCTGGACTTCTCGGATAGAAAATTTCGTGGCCACTTTTGCTAGCTCTACCGGTAAATTTTGCCGTGTTAATAATGCGGGAGTGGACGTATGTGGGAATTCAAACACTGTTTTCGGACTGTTTTCTACCCAAGTTCGCGTGAGCAATAGGGGGCTCCGTACGAGGTACGGGGGGGGGAGGCTAGGCAAAACAAAAGCCGAAGCACTTATCGTAAACCAAGCCTAGGGTGGTGAGTAGTTGTAGGTATATAGTCCCTGTAGAATTGGGGAAACGTAGATTCGCACTGCTGGGGTGGATTGTTAAGAATAATATGGATCGGTGAACGATCGAATGATGGGCCTGTGGGCGAGATTCGAACGATGGAAAGAGATAGGCAGGAAGGGGGAAAGACAGAGCAACAGGGTGACCGAGCGACAGGTTGAGAGGAGAGGCTGGGGAATCACGAGAGCGACATCACGTGGTTGGCCTACAAGAAAAACAAAGTGTGTGATTGGAGAAGGGGAAGTGGGGAAGTTATGGGCGCATTCAAATATAACTTTATGGGCAGAGGGTTTCCCGGAGGAGTGAGCAGTACTGTACGGTACTGTACTTGCACAAGCACTCGAGCACCGGTACTGTACGGGTACGAGTGCCGGTGTGATAACCGGCTTGGCCTAGCCAGGAACCATCCCAGTAAATCTACAATACCAAATCTACAATACCGGTGTCACGTTTGCTACACTTCACCACAAAGCGCCGCAGTCTGCTGGCACGGTACGAGTATCGTGAGCGAGAGCCGGCGTTTCTGAGCCAACGACCTGGTGTGGGGTCTGCCTTGGTTTTCAAGGTCTTGTGCGAAACTATTGTGGTATCCCGTGAGCTTTAACGTCATGCGACTCTGGAGTACTAGACTACCCGTAGCCTACTCAAGTATGATACAAGTGCTTAAGTACGTCGTGTGTCTATCGGTAACATCGAGGACTCTCCGAATATGTGCCAATTAGTCTGTTCTCCATGATAACTATTGTCCCCATAGGCACAAGTACCTGATCTCGCGGAAGCAGTGGCGATCCACGCTTTCAGTTTGGTACCGTACTACGGTATCCCCCGGGCTGCCGAGACAGCGGAGTCAAAAGAAGAGACGACTAGGGTCCTGCCTCAGCATTCTTCAGTGATGATGATGGGCGTGGGTATGATCATGAAGTCAATATTAGCCATCTGCAAATTTGTAGTAATTGGCGGGAGTTGCGTATTAACCTGTGTTTGAGACATTGCCAGGTGCGTCTCAGTAGTTTAGATTAACTTACCGGTAGGATGAGGGGATCGCTGAGAGGGGAGATCAACCAACAAATTAGCCTGGCACAATTCAACGGTTCGGAATGGGTGAACCATGGTTTCTACCGGTACAGTACAGTACCCCGCGTGGGGACATTGCTAACTTCACAATTCTTGCTCGCTTCGGGATCGTGGAGTTGTTCCTATCATTAAAAAAAGGCAGATATTTAGGTTCTTTAGCGGGGTATGTGGGAAATGGAGGATGTTCGTCGTGAATTGGGATTGTAAATAATTTCCCCTTTTTTCTCTCACCCTCTTCCCCCCTCCTCTTCCTGCCAAAGATTCGATTTATTTGAGCGATCTTTGCTAGGGCACTGTATATATATAGTGCCATGCCGGGCACATTGACATGGAAGCTCATCCCGTGGCACGCACTGTGGCCATGCGGGACAGGAAGAAAAATAGATTATTTTTGATGCGACAAGAATCACCTCATGCAGTATCTCGTGTAGCAGTAGAAGTAACTTCTCTAACCGTTAGCTAGCCTCTGATCAATTGGGTCTGTCATGTGGCTCTTGGCTCATAATAAATATTCAGTGGGCCGAGAAACGCTACTCGCTGTGGAGGCTTGAATACGAGTGCTCGCGGGCAAGTACGACAATGTAGTGACTATCGTACTGACACTGCTCTATAGGCGGGGAAGGTTTCGGATATCTCATCGTTGGATGTTGAATGATCGGAACCACTACGGTATAGTAGTGATATAAGCCATAGGATAGCGGTTATGAGCAGGGAAAATAAAGACGGGGGATGCCTAAAGGATGTTGAGAAACCGGGGAACAAGAGAGCCCCCCCGTACAGTATATGCCATACCGCCTAGAAACTGTGCGAGGCCTCGAGTGCGGGAAAGGAAAAACAACACACAGTACTTGTATGATACCGGTGCTGTTCTTGCTCAGAGTTAGTTGTCCGAGTAGTCCTTGGCCCTCAGGTACAGCGCCGAGTAATAACTTATCCTCGTAGAGACTAATACCACAAAGTAGAGCCACTACTGTGCTGGTATCCGAATTGCAAGTGAAAGCACTGCTATGCATTCGGGTTCTGGGTGCTCGGGCTACTCGTATGGTTACGAGTACGAGAATCCCCCAGCGGAGGCTGCGTGCTGGAATGCGCCACGGCTGCTTAGACTACTAGCAACAATACCGGTGCTCGAATGGTGAACGATGCAAATTATCCATTCTCGGTTGGTATCGTTTGGTGTGATACAAGTTCCCGAGAACGATAGATATTCACGGTTCGGTTCTTCACGAGAAAGCCCACGACGGTTGACCCGATACTTTCGTTTAAGGCCACATACCATCTAATACACTCTCCATGAAGGAGAGAAATGTGCTGCTTCCAAATCATAAAGAGTTTTAACTTTTGTGGCTTCATTTAGGACAATGAAATCTTTTTTTTCTTTTTTGCCACAGTGCTTAAACACTGACCCCACGATGCGGCATCCGAACAGGGTATGAACGAACGAAAGAACGAAAGAGGTCCTCGGGGATCTCGGGGATCTGAGTGAAAGAGTCGGGTAGACTTTGCAGGTTCCTAATTCATGCCGAGTCGCTTGTTTTTAGCTACTTGCCCGTTGCGGTGTATATACTACTCGAGTAATATCACCCAATTAGACTCTTAGAGCACTATGAATGATGGAAGCGGTGGCTCTAAGGCCGCACAGTCCTCTCCAGGTCCACCGTCATGGCAGGCTTGAACCCAGATCCCTTGATTTCCACGGGGCACTGATCTCTGCCTCTCCAGTGTTGGTACGGATAAAAACGTTGGAAAGTAAGGGTAATTAGAAATTCTATCGTAAAATGGAGGTCTGGATGCCCCTGGGCAAATCATGTGTATGGCAAGATAGCCAAAAAGGCCCTGGATGCGTCTGGCGCGAGGTTTCTGTATGATTCCGTGGAAGCACAAAGGATTTTAGCTTTGTGGCTTATTTCAGTAGAACAAAGTGACTTTTCTTTGGTGCGCTGTATATAGCGAGGATACACGGCCCACTTCTTGGACCATTGATCTTGAAATCTTCCTGCGGCTTCAAGTCCTATCTGATCGGTCTTGATCGCCCGGTTTCCGGATTTCGAGATGTTATGTTCAAGGGAATATCCACTGGTATCTCATTGCCAGGTATGGCCCTTGTTTCTCACAATCCCCCCCCCTCACTCCGTCCGATAAATCTTGTTCGTGCCAATACCGGTATCATTCGGGGGACTTCCCACACTGGGAGGGATTACACGCTGGTTTTTGACGCACTAGGCACCCTGTCCTAACCACAAGTACCAACGGACAAATATTTCTCCGAAATCCTTCTGCATTCCCAAACGTGACTCAGCCAGGTGATTACAAGATCATCGTTGATTACGATTCGCAATACGGGCACTGTAGTTGAGTCCCCCTCCAATTCACATCTCCACATTATCATGGAGCTTCCTACAGATTCCACTCCCACTCCGGCATACATCTCAGACTCCGAATGCGGGGAAAGGCTGACATTCTGTCAGGATGAGGAAAAAGCGCTCAGCATTCCTCTCGAATACCTACTCGCTCTTGTTCCGGCGGAGACCTCCAACGCTTATACGCTTATTTCCCAGACAGGACCGGGGGGTGGGGTCATTAGCTCGACTATTACTAGTCCGCCGGCGGAAATCATTGAACGGTACTGCATTCCCGTTGACACACCAGCTCATCTTCAGAAGCCCGTTTCGGTAGTCACCTCCCCGTATTCGGGTCTCGGAAGGGCGGAGCTCTACTTCTCTACCCTGCTTGCGCCGGTGCTCGAATATTATTCTGTCGATTATGGCAAGCATACTGTTACCTCCCCCACTGCTATCAAGACCATTGCCAATGGGCTCCCTGAAGGCACATCAACGGTTATAATTCTCTCGGGGGACACTCTTATCTTTGAACTACTCAACCAACTACCGAGCACCAAACGGCCGACATTAGTGTTGATACCGACGGGCACGGGGAACGGTCTGGCAAGCAGTCTTTATAGGCCATCGCCCCCGGACGACCTCATCAGAAGTGCATTTCACACATTCCTTCACGGAATATCCCACCCGCTTCCCGGCTTTGCAGTCAAGTTTTCGCCCGGCGCTCGTCTTCTTGAAGAAGCGATACCGGAGCAGGGGCTCAAAGGAACGGTAGTAACAAGTTGGGGATTCCACGCCTCCCTCGTTGCCGACGCTAGCACCCCCGAGATGCGATCATCGGGAACTGAAAAGTTTCAAGTCGCAGCGAAGCAAAACCTTACACCATCGCTTCACGCCTACCGTGGCACCATATCCATCGTTCGTCCCGGGAGCACTAAATGGGAGGAGGTGGGTGACACCAACGACGAAGGCCATTTTTACTTGGTTGTGACCGGGGTATCCAACTTCGAGCCCATTTTTACAATCAGTCCGGCGGCCAACGGGATGGATGGGATTCTCCGGATCATCTATTTCGGCGTTGGAGATGTAGAGGGCGCGGAGGGGGTGATGGGAGTAATGAAGGCGGCGTACGATGGTGGGAAACATGTCTCAATTCCGGGAGTAAGGTATCAAGAAGTGGACGGGGTGAAGGTTCATTTGAAAGAGGCAGAGGAGAAATGGCGCAGGATATGTGTTGACGGTGCAGTGGTTACGCTTGAGGAGGAGGGTTGGCTGGAGGTCAACAGACACGAGGGATGGGCCGATGTCGTTTACAGATCTCGATTCGACAGTTGATTGTACCGTATTATACCCAAAGAAATGAACTACAAGTACCGTACTGTAGCAGCACAAGAGAAAATCGCGCGAGCGATCCCCTCCATCCATCGGGACCTGTCGTGTGGTCGATCGCCATACCCTACCGTTTGTCCCGGTAGTGGCGATATCTCGAGACGCGTAACGAAATTACAAGCGGTGTGAGTCATATCGGTGTGGAAGAAGAGAGAAATATCATAGTAAGAGGGGGTGTCTCGCCACATCCTACAGAACAAGATTTTTTTCGCTCCGTGAGTCAGTATGCCGGAAACCTTTGCGCGATACAAATCATGTACCAGCACTCGTCGTCACCTGAGGATAACTTGCGACGAGGGCCACCAGTCTTGAACGTGGTGATACGGTAGGTACAATCACGGTAGGATTATGCGGAATGGGAAGGTAATTGACAGATTAGTGAACTTCGTGCAACTGTAGATGCATGCGAAATGGCCGCGTGACCGATTGTGGTGCGCCTCTAGCATGAACTAGTGGGTAAAACGTATTAGGTTATGAGTCAGAGGGAAGAAATGATTGGTTCTTCGGTAGGGCTATCTTTTGTCTGGGATGACGAAACAGGCAAAAATGCCAAGCCTAATTAGTAAGCTTTCGGTGGATTTGCCGTTTTGGGACTGGTCTGTTTTTGCCTCCTCCCAACCCTAGTATTTAATCATCTTCTCATCTCTCCTACCACTCTTCCTCTTCCTTCTTTATCACAACACACTTGACTTCCTCAATACAACACACATTCCTCCTTGCACCTAACACCTTCTTGATTCTTTACACAATTTCACATCACCTTTTACCTTTCTTCAATACCTCACATTTCTTTTCTTCAAAAATTAAAACCCTTTTACCTATCATACAATATCTCCTCTACCTCTTTCACCAAATTGCACTTTTCCTCTACAATACACTTGGTATCTTACCATACCTGCTTTCAGATTTCTGCATCTGAATACCATAACTGGTTCTAATTTGCACTTACCATAATCCCTGACTCCTGATACAGTATATTTCAGTACTGTATTCTGCTACACTACTAGTACTGTTTATGTTTACACAATACTATTGTTGTTACTCATAACTCAGTACTAGTCTGTATTCAGCTTTACTCAAAACCAGTTTTTCTCAGAATTATCTGGCTCCTGCCCTGCATTCTTCCTGATCACTTTGTTCTGTTACAATTTTGATCACTCGCATTTGTTTCCAACTGGTTTGCGGTTTGCATTGTTACCAACGAACCGTTTTCATTTGTCAGCGGTTTACATTGTTACCAGCCGTTACCATTTTTACCTAACAGTTTAAATCGTAACCAACGGTTTAAATTTTGACACACGATTTGCATTTTACCTTACGGTTTAAATCGTTTCCGAGGTTTTCAGTGTTCGCGGGCAGTTTTTAGTGCTCTAAACCCTTTCATCGGGAAAAGAGGGGAAAAATCGAAAACCGGTTTTTTGTTCATACCAGGATAGAGATCAGAATACCGGTTATAAAACTTAGACTACACCGCAACAGGCGTTGCTACCGGTACTTCAACAGCGAACCCTTCAACCAAGCAACAATCGTTCCCGCGCCTGCATAGTCTACTGATCAGGACCTTGCCTGCCTTGAGTGATTTCAGAAAAAGCTGAAAAGGGAAAAAATACCTCTTGTATTACACTAGCAGCAACTGGCTACACTACCGACCCGACCCGCGACTTAAACTTTATCTAAAGCGTCCCGTCCCGCCTGTCTATCCCTTGCATCAACTGACAACATGTCGAACATGACGGAACCGTCTACCGCGGCGCATAGAAATCTTTGTACGTATTCTGTTCTCTTTTTACCATCTTAACTGCTCTGAGAAAATAAGTCAAAGCTAACAAAATAAATAGACGGAAATGGAACCGTCAAGCAACGGCAGTTAATGAAGTGGCGCTGGTCTATTCAGGATAGACACCATCACGCGGTAAAGTTTGGTGCTACCGCAATCACTACAGAGGATATTGTCTTTCTTGACACTCTCTTAACTACGCTGAGCTTTTATCGCTGGGTCGATGACGATTTTAACGCGACCAAGATTGGAAGAGCTGTTAAGTACCTTACCGATGAGACGCTTTTCGGGGACGACCTTTCAAACAGAGCCAAGATCCTTCTCGACCGGTGGGATAATGGCAATTTCACGCCCGGTCCTATCGAAGATCTCTTTGATGATAACGATTTCGGCTCTGATTCTGGAGAAGATTCTGACAGTGCCGATGAGAATGTTGTGGGAAGTACCACTTATGTCAATGTTATGAGAGGCATCAGAGTTGTTACAAGCGCAAATGGCAGAAGAACTTACATGTTGGATAAGCGATTTCCCAAAAGAGTTGCCGACAGATTTGGTGATAACGGACTTACTGTTGGAGAGTATGTTTATCTATTATTCTTACTTGTATCGCAATCTCAATTACAGAAGGATGCTAACTACAAGGTAACAGCTGGTGGCCATATCAGATATGCGCGCTCAGAGATGGAGCACACGGTTCCCGTATGGGCGGTATCCACGGCCGCGTCAACTCGGGTGCTTACAGTATCGTAATCTCGGGCGGGTACGAAGAAACCGACAAGGACTACGGCGATAGGATTCTTTACACTGGGTCCCGCGGCGAAATAGTTCCAAACCGCCCACAAGTTGCGCCTCTTACCAACGCTACCATGTCTCTTATCAAGTCTTACCAGACTAGAGAGGCAGTTCGCGTTCTTCGCTCGTCAAAATGCGACTCGAGATGGGCGCCCGCTGTTGGTATTAGATATGACGGCCTTTATCGTGTCATGACTTACGAGATTGAGGAGGATCCTGAAGGAAAGCCATACTATCGGTTCGAATTGCAAAGGATTCTTGGGCAGGAGCCAATCAATACAAGTAGACCCAA